CCCCCCATGCAGCCCAAACCAAATTTATGTCCGGCCCAAACCAAATTTTCATCTTCTAATGTGGCCCAGGAAAGGTGAAAGGTTGGACACCCCTGGTATAGACCATTAGAGGGCATTTTGAAAGCAGAAACCTAGGTTTACCTTAATGATCCTATGGCTGCTGCCACAGGATATTCCCAGAAGTGTTACTTACATATTCTTTAATATCCTTTGATTTTACAGCTTTGTAAGAGTAATATGCAGGGTAAAGAGTGCCAAATATAAGCCTGGAAGAAAAAGAAAAGAAAATTCATTTCCAGTCACAATAAAATATCGGTTACTGCATGTAAATGAGTACACTTTCCCAGGAAAAAACTGATCACCAAGCTCTTGTTATAGTTCTCACTGAAAGGAGTTAAATGGAGATCAGAGCAAGAACGCATAAGTTAATGGAATGTGTTACTCTGTACAGCCACTTAGGGGTTTTTTAATGCATTTTCCTGTTTAAATGGTCAGAAAACTAAACACAAAATCCTTACTACTGTTACGTAGGCATGAGTGGACTAAATTAGTTGCACTTAATCCCCACTAAAATCAACAGAGCATTAGTTGCAACTAACTTGTCCTACTGATTTCCACAGGACTGCATTTAATTAATGTAAGATGCAATTCTATGCAAACTTACCAATTTTTCAGCCTATAGATTTATTTACTAGGATTGTGCAGTCACTCCATAACTTGGGTTTTCTGGCTGGTTAACAAAACAATTAAACCAATTAAAATTTAGTATATGCACCTAAAACACTAATTAAAGTTATCATGGTTAAAATATAGTTTTAAAACAAAAGGACCAAGGCTTTCACTAACAGGGGAGTAAGGTCCATTGTACTGAATAGCTATTACTTCTGCATAGCTATGCAGAAGATTGTATAGCTAGATGCCTTAAAAGATATACAATTGTTCCTTCAACAATGCTGGGATAAGCAGTGGCAGACTCCTGTGTAGTTCAAAATCTGAGAATAATTCTTACGTGCCCCCCCCCATATTAACTGCGCCCCTGACCTGCATCAGCCTTCTGCCATGCCCCAGCACCCTCCTTGGCTGACACATAGCATTGACATGCGAGGAGAGGGGGCCGTCTGGGCCCCCGTCAACAAACCACCACACCACCACTTCCAGGAACCTCAGTAATTTTATTTATTTATCAGAATTATATACCGCCCATCTAGAACGTGTCTACTCAGGGCGGTTTACATATAACATAAAAAATAAACTAAGGTAAAATCCAGATTAATCACAGAGTCCAAGATGGGAAAGGAAGAAAAGAATAAAAAGAAGAACGAGAGAGGGGAAAATAAGAAAAGGGGAGATAGGCTAGGTAATGGCTGTAGGGAAGGCCTGCCTGTATAGGCCATGTCTTCAAGTTAGTCTTGAAGGCCCTCAGCGAGGGAGCCAGGTGGATCTCTACAGATAAGTTGTTCCAGAGGCGAGGGGCCACTGCCGAGAAGGCCCAAGTTCTAGTTTTTTCCCACCAGGCCTCTCTTGACTTTTTTCAGGTCACTTCCTGGAGATGAATAGCAGCACGGTTTATTTATTTATTGAATATTTATTTACTTATTCAAATATTTATTTATTGGAAACAAAATCAATGTATAACCAGACCCATGCTGCTCCAACCCATGTGATTCAAGGAAGAAGTACGCAAGCACATTCTGTCTCGAATGCGGCTGAAAATATGACACCTGTGAAAATTGTTAGGAGGAAACGAATACACATCTGTATTTAAATGAATACACAGTACACAGAAGAAAAAGACTTTTTTAAAAGAACACAACAATTATAATAGAGAAACAAAACTTCAGGCTAGTAAAGCACCAGCTGGGCTTGAAAACAAATTTTCACCACTGAGCACCCAAAGGAATTTTCAGGTAAACCTGGAAAGCATCAGTTGGCCAGCACAATACATGAAGGATGCGAGATAAATGAAGGATGCAGTTTTTCTCACTCCTGTATCTCACTTGGCATGGGCAAGCTGACCAAATATCTTATTTCCTTATCTATTAGAAGGTACAACTGGCTTGACCATGCCTCCTGAACTATGCTCATGTTGGCTTCCAAAGACTTGCAAAGAAAGAAGATCAAATGCTGTCCTGACTAGCATTCTGAGAAACAGTCTTAAAGCAAACTATTAAATAAACCTTTCCTTATGCCCATGATATAAGGGATTTAAGGGTCATTTTCTAGTTAATCAGCCCAACTACTGTTTCCAAAAGGAAGCTGCAAATCACCACTGCACCTATGGTCTATAAATATGCAACAGCAGATGAATCACTGAAGGTCAGGTTTATTCCAAAACCAATCTTTCTCCTCCAGTTTCCTAAACTAACCCAGCCCTTGTTCTTGGTTCCTACACCAGTATAATAATACAAAGGGAGAAAGTGGTGCCAGAAAGCTGTTCTGTCATGTGCCAGCAATAATCCAAGCATTTCTATTGTCTGAAGTGGGAAGCAAATATTTATCCCTCACACATACACTGTGAAGGGGTTGTCACCCAAATCCCCATGTTGCTGGTGTGTGCAACAGCTCAGCCCCAACAACTGCTGCACCAGAGAGAGAAACACCTGGCCCACCTGTCATAGGAGGTGGCAAAGCTGAAGATAGTGCCACCTGCGGTGCAGACACCAGCAACTCTCCATACTCCTGGAAAGAGAAGGAGGGGTACACGGAGATTGGTTCTGGTTAGAGCCAGCTGCAATTTGAATGCTCGGTTCCAGAGAGTTCTCATAGCCAAAGCATTATGAGAGAGGTGACCTGAGAAATTGCCTGTGCCACAGAGGCAGCTGCAGTAGGCCTCCCCAGGCCTCATGGTAAGGCCATCCATGCCAGCTGTTATAGCCATCATTTCCTGCCTATAATTTTGGTTGACTTACAATTCCAAAAGTGGCTGAGTGAGCCTGAAGTGTGGCTGCATGGAAGGAGAACTTCCAGGTCTTTCTTCATGTCAACATAATGGGAAAGAAAATATTGGGGGGAAACCAAGGAGCAGCTATTAGAATTGTTCGCCCCCCCCCCGGTCCTGAACATGGTGGGAGCAGCACTCACAGCATCATGTAAGAAAAAGGGGGAAAGGGTATTGGTTGCCCCTAAGGTGTCCCCAAACTTAGATAGCTTGGATAGTCTTGGTCACTGGTTCTTAACCTTGGGTTACTCAGGAGTTTTGGACTGCAACTCCCAGAAGCCTTCACCACCAGCTGTCCTGACTGGGGTTTCTGGGAGTTGCAGTTCAAAAGCATCCAAGTAACAAAGGTTAAGAACCACTGGTCTTGGTGACAGGAGCCCTGTGTTGAAGCTGCTACTGCTAAATGCCAGATCGGTAAATGGAAAAACAACAGACATGCAGAACCTGATCCTGGACGAGCAGACAGATCTGGCCTGCATTACAGAGACTTGGTTGGACTAGTCTGGGGGTGTCAATCTCATCCAGCTTTGTTCACCAGGATTCTCTGTGCAGCAGCAGGCGAGACCTGGGGGGGGAGGTGGAGTTGCAGTGCAGTGGTCTATCATGATTCTATCCCCCTCACCAGGTGCCACATCCCCTGGTTTTCCAGGTTTGAATGTGTGTATTGGAAAGTGTAAGCCTGGGACAGAACAGGGAATCTGTTGAGCAGCCCACTCCGCTGCTCAACAGTCTCCCTTCCTGAGCTCATTGAGCTGGTCTCAGGGGTGGTGTTGGAGTCTTCTTGACTTGTTGTGCTGGGGACTTCAACATTCATGCCGAGGCAACTTTGCCAGGAGTGGCTCAGGACTTCACATCTTCCAGGACAACCACAGAGCTGTCTCAAATCGTATCTGCCCCCACTTACGCTGCAGGGCACACCTTAGACATGGTTTTCTGTACTGGGGTAAATGTTGGTGATCTGAGTGATCTGGGTGATCTGGGTGTGGAGGAACTGTCTGCAGTTCTGTTGTCATGGACATATCATCATCTGGTGGGGTTTAGACTCACTTGAACACAGAGCCCCTGCAGGGGTGGAGGGGGCCAATTAAGATGGTCCACCCCAGGAGGCCAATGGATTCAAATGGTTTCCTAATGGCTCTTGGAGAGATTCCAGTTGCCTTGGCAGGTGATTCTGTCGAAGACCCGGTTGACCTCTGGAATGGGGAAATGGCCAGACGGTTGACACAATCACTCCTAAGTGCCCCCTTCCACAAAGTAGAGCCAAACTCTGGTTTACTGGGGAGCTGGTGATGATGAAATGAATTGGAGGCCAACTAGAGTGGCAATGGTGGGAAGCTTGGAATTAATCCAACCGAATATTGGCTAGAGCCCATTAAAAGGCACAATCCATGGCAGTGGTGGCAGCAAAGAAGTCATTCTTTGGTGCCACCATTGTGTCTTCAGAGTTGCTCAGCAGAGCTTTTTTGAATGGTCAAGGGCCTATTACATCATGGCACACAGGAAGATGGTGTTGATCACTCTGCAGCTCACTGAAAAATTTGCACAGCACTTTGCAGGCAAAATTGCTCAGCTCTGCTCTGACTTGGATGCTATAGTTCGTAGGTCCTTAGCCTGTGGTGTGTGGATCCCAGGGAGGGCTCAATGTCCTAAAAGGGGTCCGCGAAGCCACGAAGAAATGTTATGATCTTTTCCAGTTAAAAAAGAAAGAAGGAATAAATGAGAGGGGGAAAAAGGAAGAAAGAAAAGGAAACATGGAACAAAACTCAATTTCCCTTGCTTGCTTGTGTAAAACTTGGCTTTTCTAACCTACTGCCACCATTAAAAACAAACAAATGTAAAAATTGGTTATGAAAATAACTGTTTGATAGGAAATAACTACATATTAGATATTTCTGCACACGGTGAGAATATGCAAGTGAGTGATGTTGAGTGGCTGAAAGACAGCATGTGATATTTCTTGCTACTGCGTAGTCAGAAGCCACGGGATGAGAGAGTCAGAGTCAGTCAGTGTCAGTGAATGTTCGGATGGACTTTGTGTTTCTTCTTTTTCTGCTAATAAAACTGTTTGTAATTGTCTGATGAAGTGACTTTTCAATATTGTCACAGTGAATTTCATAACAATACATTTTGACTGAGCCTCAGAATGGATTGATGCTGTTGATGAGGTTGCATCCTGTTCAAAGCAAAATTATGCTTCTTCCAGTCATTTTAAAAATGTCTCTGTTATAGCAAGGAATATCTGTTGATGTGATACTTGATACACTTTAGGGTTTCCCAAAAATATTATTATAGGAGTGTGTACATTAACAGATTGACTTATTTCTCCCT